TAGGCATAGGCATGGCATGAGGCACCTAGTGCTGGCATAATGCCCATATGCCCAACATGGGCATTTGCAGACCCCTAGTACCTACAATTTATATTAATATCAGTTTTATCATGTGACATGCTGCACGTGCCAAAATTTTGCCCAATAATTATTTTTAACCCGATATGCTTCTGATATTTTTTTATATATTGCCATTATAGATCAGATTTTGGCGCCAATTCTGATAATTAGCGAAAAAAAATGCAATACCGCATATTGTGTGCATTAACTTTTTATTACGTTGATATTAGTCGATATTGCATTTTTCCACAATCATCGCACTAGTACATCAAAATAGGTAAATTAATTACGCCTAAAACGTAATTACACAAGTCGGGACTCTATTGCTAGATCTTATGTTATCACTGTTTAATCAAATTTATGTGTGTACAAAACTAAATGTCCTTTATGTACGAGATTGAGTGTCCTTCTGTACGACATTAAATGTCCCTTTGTACTAAGTTGATGAACCACCCATATATTGCATTTAATTTTCATCTTATTTGTTACCGTAAAACTCGGAAAATAAGCACCGTACCCTCTACTCTACTTTTTCAATCTCAGATTAGCGGAAATAACTGAATGTTCAAATCGGAAAAAAATATAATATTTAATTATGTCTAAATGTGAAGAGTGTGGCGGACCTAATATAAGGTCTTGGTGCAATCCATGTAATTCAAAACGTTTTCAACAAGATTTTGATAAATGGACTAGCGGTAATGAATTAATTGATCAATTAATACAGAAGTCACAATTAAATGCGAATTGTCGTGAAGAAGTAATAGAATGGATACCTTATCATAAATTCTATGACATCGAATATCTTGCAGAAGGTGGTTTTGGCATTGTTCATAAAGCAAGATGGCCTGGACGCATTCTATTGTGGGATTCTAAATTTAATAATTGGAAAAGATATCGGGAAAAGAACGCTGTTGCTTTAAAGGTTTTAAAGAACTCGCAAAACGTTTCTGCAGATTTTATTCAAGAAGTAATAATCTTTATTATTTGTTAAAGAATGACTCATTATGAAATTTTGACTTTCAGAATCCTAACTTTCATAAAATTATTTGTCGCGGCAATTTAATTATTCGACCTCAATAACTCAATATCTCGACATTGTTCTTAATAGTATTAAGATCCGATAACAGTCTATACCAGGATATCAAATGTGATAATATTGAATATCGAGATTTTGAATTTTTGGGATGGTAAAGATAAGGATTGTGAATGTCAGAATTTCATATTATCTTGTCGAAATAGTGGATTTTTTTAACAAGAAAATATTTTTATTCTTTTAAATTTATAGATTACATTGCATAAAAACTTTGTCGGGTCAGTTATTGTTGAGTGTTATGGGATTTCCAGAGACCCGAAAACAGATGAATTTATAATGGTAATGCAATATATAAGTGATGGTGACATTAAACGATTCATAAATAGAAATAGATATATTAACGTATTTAATAAGCGTAACTTACTATGCAAACTTGCAAAAGGATTACATGAAATTCATGAAAAAGGATTCGTTCATAGAGATTTTCATCCAGGCAATGTATTAATTGATAGTAATTCTGAAAAACTTTATATTACTGATTTGGGATTATGTAGACCCGCGAATGAAAAATCAAAAGAAAAGAAAATTTATGGGGTCCTACCTTATGTTGCCCCAGAAGTTTTAATGGGTCAAGAATATACTAGAGCTGCTGATATATATGCATTTGGAATGCTTATGTTTGAAGTGTTTTCTGCGTTACCACCATATCATGAACTTGATCATGATGAATCGCTTGCCATAAAAATAGTTACAGGATCTAAACCAGCTTTTAATGATATTCTCAAAGTACCGGCCATAATTAAAAGATTAGTTTATAGATGCTTGGATATAGATCCATTAAAACGTCCAACTGCCAAAATAATTGCTTTAACATTAGATTACATGGAAAACTCAAATGCAGATGAAGGATTTGAAGAGTTACACGGGGTTTACTTATCCTTATTAATGCAAGAGGGTTTTTTCGATAAACCTTTCCCAGTAAAAATACATCCCGGAGCAGTTTACACAAGTAGACATTTAAACTATAAATATCTTGCGACCATGAGCTCTACTAATAATATCAATAGAAAACTTCGACTTGAGAATGAATTAGACTCTAAAATTACTGATCTTTGTTTTGATTTTACCTGTTAAAACTAGGGTTTGGGGCATGAGGTTAAGAGGCATGCCCCTATCATGTGATATAGGGCTATTATATAATTGGTCAATTATTAAATTGGCCAATTAGAATTAAAGCCTACTATTGCTAATTACGATAATATATGATATATATATATCTATAGAGGGCATGCCCTAGGCACAGAGGAGCATGCCCCAAAAATTTGCCGTGCCCCCAACCCTAGTTAAAACACAAAAATTTAAATATTATAATTATTATATTCTTTAATATAAATATCAACTCTAACTTAAAATTATATTCTTTAATATAAATATCAACTCTAACTTAAAATTATAAAGATGATACAATTTGCAACTTATTTAAGATTATATTTTTCTTTAGAGAAAGTTTTAGCATTTAAAAAGAGCAAATTGAAAGTTTTTTATTTATTGTTTTTGTTTTCTCTTGTTTAGTATTAGTTTGGTGTTTTTCTAAATACCTCGACACTGGAAAACAAAAGAGTGTTAAATCCTCCTTTACATAAGACTAGATTCAGAATAAAGAACAAAATTAAATTATACAAAATAAATATAACGTACCGTACGTCACTGACTATAGTATCCCCTGTCATAATACCCCATGA